CGAGTCCTCTGGGCTCCGGCACTGGGTCGTGGTCTAGGGTAGCGGTCGGACCGCAGCCAAATTTAAACGGCTAAATCCAACAGCCTTGGCAGGAGCGAAGAGGAGGGAGGGCGGAAGAGGTGGAGGCGGGGCGAGGGCGGGCCTTGGACGTGGTCACGTGGGTGAGGGTGGGGCTTGGCTCCCTTCCCTTTTGTTTTGTCTGGCGCGTGCGCAGGAGCCACACACGTGGTCTTTGGGGCGGGCTGCTGGGTTCGGCGTCCGCTGCTCTTTTCGGGCGGGCGTGGTGAGTCGGTTTTCTGGCTCCGCCGAGGCTGAGCCTGCTGTTAGACGCAACCCTTATTTTGTTTATTTCGTACTTTATTTCGGGCGCATATTGATTTGACCTTTAAATTTATTTGGGGTTGTGAGGAATCTAGAGGATTTTTGAGGAATGCTAACCTTGAAGTTTGTTGTTTTGGGATGTTCTGAAGTAGGAGTCGGTCTTTTTGGAAACACTGGGAGTGTCTTTGGTAGCAAAGACTAGAAGAAAGCTGCATGTTTTGATCGTTTTAGAAATCACAGGAAAGCATGAGGCTGCTTTACAGCTAAGACAGCAGGTACTCTGTGCTTCTTTACCCTGGGAGTTACTTGGTTCTTCCCCTGTCCCGTCTGCCCCCGGATCAGGAATTGGAGAGATTTCTTTCCTCCCTTAGGGTGAAGCACTTGTTTTTCATCCCCTAAATTTAAAAGCAGTCGTGTTGGCGAGATTAAAGATACTAGCTTCCTTCATCTTTCCTTAACCAGTTTACTTAACTTCGTGCTGAGTTGGGTCAGTAGAGAAATTTTTTTAAATACTGCCTAGTTGAGGCAGATTAGCAATAAAACCTGAGTGAAATATATTTTTGAATGCTACAGGCAAAACGGGTAGTATCCTTTTAACTAAAAAACAGTGGCTCTAAAAATTCAATATTGAGAAGACCCTGATTTTGAGGAATGCAGATTGCTCTAGTAGGATTTCTCCTTGAGTGGTTCCTGCCACTTCTGATTCTTAACTAGCCCTTTGCTTGGGCAAGTCACAACCCTCATCCCAGATCCGTTTCCTCCCATAAATCACTTCATAATATGGTGCCTGTTTTAAGAGACTGTTAGGAAGATCAAATGCCTCGTGTCAGTAAAAGTTATTGTAATCTTTACCAATACTGAAAATAGAGAAAGTGCCAAGTAATACAGTGGTATAACAAAAGTCATTTTTTAAGAAGCTAGTGGACTACAAATAATGAAATAGGACATATGTGACTTTCTCAAAATTAACTACTGTCTAATTCTTACTCCGTTTTCACTTAAAGCAGTGTCAAAATCTGCTACTATTCTTTCAAAGCTTTAATCTGCATAGATTACCATTACTTCCTTTAGTTTTTCTAGGATAATTTTTATGATGTGAAACTCTTCTTAATCCAAGGCAATTAATTCTATCGCACTGGTTTTTGCATTTTAATTTTGCTTGGTGATATGTGCTTTTTTCCCCCCAAATAATTGCTTATCTTGTTAAATCTTATTACAAAATAATTTGGAAAATAGAGAAAAAGTACAAATAAGAAAAAGAAGTTGTATTCTTCTCTATTTTCTATATATGTGTATTTTTCCTAAAGCAGATAATACAAGATCTTCATTTAATTTTTACTAAGAAAGTTTTCCATTTTATTAAGTATCTTGGAAAAAATATTTTAATAGCTGCTTAACATTTTATCATGTAAGTATCATATTTAAGTTCTTTCTATTGGCAGATGTTTCCATTAGTGTAAATTTTATATAGGCAGTGGCCTTTTATATAAAATTTTGAAATTCCCCTCTGCTTCCCTAGGTTTGTAATTTTTTGTGTAGTTTTTTTTTTTTTTTCCCCTCTCAGGTCAGAGTCTTTTTTTGTTTTTAAGGCTTTTGTAACATTACCAATTTACTTCTCAGAGTGTTGTATAATCATATAGCATTCATATGTGATATGAACATAACCTTTGGTTTGTCATGTAGTATTAGCTTTAAAAGGAAAAAACCTTACTTTTTTCATTAAATTTTTTTTCACATATCTATGGGATATGTCTTATTCCTAAGTTATTGTAAGGCACTTGAGAGAGGAAAATGCTTCATGTAGTACATATTACAAATTGCATAGTGGGTGCACAATAAATCCCAATTCGCTATTTATATTCACCTTTTATAAAGGTCATCATAGTTGTCTGTTAAAAGATCCAACCTCCCATTTTCTAACTGCTGAATTCAAATGCTTCATGCAGTTTTGCTGCCATTTATCATAACTTAAGACTTTCACGTTCTTTACTCATTCATGAAACTTCTGTGGAATTAAAAATTTCGCTCTATTCTAATTTCACTTGTAGCCTCTGTAACAAAACAGATTCCTGGTTTCTGAAGTTTCTTGTTTCATTATTCAGATTGTTCTTGACAGCCCACCTGTTATTGCCTGTAGCATAGGTCTGCCACATGAACCTTATATGTAATATGCAGTTTTTGTCTTTATGTATCCATTCAGTTATCTCCTTACCTCCTTTTAAATTTGCCCATATTGTATCAGATGTTAGTTGAAAGAGGCAGAAAAGTGTGTCCTTGGAGTTTAGAGTTGATTTGTAAACAGCAGAAAAGGGGGTTGGTTTGCAATACAGCTAATAGTGTGGAATTGACCGATTTACTGACATTAAGGCATATTCTCTTTTATCTTACTGTCCTTACTGCATTATGGTACTGTACTGGAATATTGTACACAGTGAGGACCCTGTGTAATAAATGCAATATCTAGTCTTACTTAAAGTATGTTAGATTTGGAAAGGCAAAGAAGGTATATTATTTCCAAAAAAATTCTTTTTTTTTCCCCGTTAGATGTTGTCCTGAATAGATCTTTCCCGGAAGCGTGATCTCTATTCCCTGATCATGTAGAGTAAACACTCAACAAGTGTTAATAAAAATGGTAGTATACTTGCTAGTAGAGAGTCTACTATGAAATTTGAAGATAATTCATAATGGAAATTTTTACTACTTAATGTTATTTTTAGGTTCTTAGAAATACTTCTTCATGGTTGTAATTCATTATATTGAATATTTATTAATATTTTTAAATTGTTGTGAACTTTTGCTTTGTAATGTTGAGGCTTTCTTTACAGTCTTGTAAGACATGTCACTTTTAATGATTGTTTAGCTCTGTGGAGTTAAATTGAAGCCAAAATTCATAGATTGAGCAAATGTATTTTTAAATGTAAATTTTTGCATCGAATTTGATGTACATAGGAAAAGCAATGACTCATTTATATTCTTATGAGTCATGCGCTTATAACTGAATAGTAATAATTCTACTTGAAGTATGACCTGTTTGATGTGTTATGTGGCCACCCAAGTGGCTTTATCTTTAATTAAATTCCTTTAGTCTTCAAAGAGAATTCCTTTTTTAGACATAATTTTCAAAGTAGAAGCAGTTCTTGCTTATAAACATTTTTGAATACACAGAAGAGACTTAACTACACCCTGGTCATACCAATTACTGCAGTGTTTTCTGCTGTAAATTGAAAATTCTCCTTAAAATGCACGGACAGATATTGGAATCACAGCACTAGTTTCCATTACAGTAGTTTCTATGTTTTGAGGAGTAAAATCATACCAAGGTTAACTCATTCTCCTTAACTTTTGTTGTATTAATGGGTTTTTCCCTTTATGTTTACAAGTTAGAAAATGAGTTCTCTAGTATGTTGGCAGTGTTGAAAAGCACATCTTTTTGTTAAAAAGATTTGTTTTTTCCTTACTCTTGTTTTTACTGTTATTAGCATAGGTTAACAAATCTGAACATTTAAGTTGTAAATGTGGAAATAATTTGATTACACTCATCAGGGTTCTTGCCTCTTATTACTGTTCATAGTCTTTCCTTGTTTGAGGAAGGTAAATGTGTATTGTTCATATTTTTATTCTAGTTTTACTGCTCTGCATTTAAAAGAACTGGGTTTATCAAGATTATAATTAAAAGTAAATGCTTGAGTAGATTTGTATAATATATTTTCTGTGGACTATATAGAATATACATATGTATTTTAGAATATACATTTAAAAATAATGTATTGAAGGTGATCATAAATCATATTCAGTCTTTACTCTTTAATATTCTCAGGAGGAAGAGTGGTTCTTATTTAGATTATTAATTTCAACTCTGATGATAGAAAGACTACATTAGCAAAGTATTTTTCTTTGGAAGATATGTTAAAAATATTTGCACTATATCACATATAAAATTGCGAAGAGTTTGCTATTAAATATCTGAACCAACTAAGTAATTACTATGTTGGTAATTGTCTCATTGTGTACATAATTGAGAGAAGACAGCTTTAACTATAGTTCATGATGTCCAGGGGGTAAGAGTTCATTTAATTAATTAATTATGAATCTTAAAAATGCAGATTTCAATCCGCAGTAACCCCCTCCCTCAATATTTTAAATCATTAATGGAAACATTCTGGAGACAAGGGCAAAGCCTTTTATTTATAAGAATACAACTTCAAAACAACTAATTCCTTCCTTAATTCTCAGTGAATTCTCGGATTAAATTTTTGACTAAAAATTAAAATTTATGGTGTACACTTAACTATGTAATCCAGCCCATTGTTCTACTGGATTAGTTTGGCTTTATTTATAATAATGAAATTTAATATAACCAAAAAGAAGAAAAATGTTTTGATCTTTGTAATGAAAACCAGCATTTATTATTTAAAGTTGTAAACTTTGGCCTGCTTTATTGAAATTCTGTGGTTGGTATTTTTTTATGAGACGTCTAAGAACAATAGTTACATGTTGAGATCTGGGTTGTTAGCTGAAGGATTCTTTACTTGATGGATTATCTACAATGATTTTACAAAGGACTTTTTTTTTCCCATACCACCAGTAAAAACTTTAGGCTACTGTAGTGCTAAGGAATTTTTTTAAGTTAAAATTTGTGATTTCAAAAGCTGACGTCTAAATGTAAGTGTTAAAATGTACGTTGAAAATTCCATTGTGGAAACCTAATGAAATTCATACCAAGAAGTATAATTGGTTTTTGGGTTACCAAGAGCTGTTGCTTATTGTCAGAGAAATCAGGATTATCTGTTTAGTTGCTTTCTTTGAAAGGTTGTTGATACAGTTTCTTAACTTGCAGTTTTGCTTTGTAAGTCCTATTAGCCTGATACTTTAGTTCCTGTGTGCTGTTACCAAAAAGTAATTTTTTTTCAGTATTTCCCTTCCAAGTTCTTTGAAGTTCTGTTGTCATTAAACTCTTAGAAATGGACCTATTATACCTGAGTATCTTTGGTCTATATGAAATAGTCATCAAAATTATAATAGTATCTGGAACTGTAGAGTACAGAATTTTAATAGCTATGATGACATTCTTAGATTTTATCTTAGGTCCAGATAGCCTTCCTGAAAATTATGTATATAATTCAGAATCTGAGTATCCGTGAAGATTAAGATACTTCTTAGCAAAGCTTTTAGAATTTGGCTTTTCCATATTTTCTATTGCCAGAATACTGTTGTTGCCTAAAAATATGTCTAAAAATATTTGAGGACTGAAGTATAATAGTTAATGGCTAATTCT